GAGTGTATATATATATATATATATATATATATATATATATATATATATATATATATAGTTTCCTCAGAGCCCACGCAACTATTTATCGCAATGACAATAATAACTGAACAAAGACGAAGAAATCGTAAAGAAATCGTCGTAACGGCACGTCCGAGTTGTCTTCCTATGCGTAATAGCAATAATTAAATAGTAACCGAATAAATTAAATAAGAACTGAATAAAGAAGTAATAATATACTCGAATATCAAATGGTAGTGATAATAATATCTGCTCAACAATCGTGTGATAATATCCGCGAGTGGATAATAAAGAAATAATGATGATGGAATAATCGATAATAACAATACCTGGGTAACGGCTCTAACAAAGACTAAGTAAACCGACCGTCGTAACGTCCCGCTCAGGCTGTGACTGAGCGGCGCTGGGAGGGGGGAGCGAAGCGTGCAGCCAATCATGCGAACACATGTGCGTGAGCACGTGCTCAAGCGTCACACCATAATATTATCAACCGTCGAGGTGAAGGCATTGGAAGTTGCCGCGTTATTTTCTAAATTATTCTTCGCCGATTTTTAATACCGCGTTTCGACTTCGCGACAATTGAGGCGACAATTAAGACAAATTAAGACGCGTACTCCTCACGCAGGTGTTGCGGGCTTTATCGCGACAGGTAATTACCGTGTTTCATTTACTTTTTTACTTTTAGATAGAGAAACGTCACGATTGAGTTCCTCAATGCCGATTAAATATTATCATCATCCATTTAATATTCGAGTATTATTACTTCTTTATTCATTAATTATTATTGTCTTTAATTATTATTGTCGTTGCCCAGTTATTGTTATGCATTGCTATTACCGCTTATTCGATCATCGTTATTCAGTTATTATCCGCTCGCGGTTATTATTACACGATTGTCGATCAGGTATTATTATCACTACTATTTATTATTCGAATATTATTACTTTTTTATAACAATTATAATAATATCTGCTCGACAATCGTGTGATAATAGTCGCGAGTGCATAATAACTGAATAACGATGATCGAATAATCGGTAACAACAATGAATAACAATAACTGGGCAAAGGCAATAATAACTGATTAAAGACGAGGTAAAGAAATTATCATAACGGCACGCCTGAGTTACTCTCCTATGCGTAATAGCAATAAATAAATAATAACCGAATAAATTAAATAATAATCGAATAAAGAACTAATAACACTCGAATATTAAATGGTAGTGATGATCACATCTGTTCGACAATCGTGTGATAATATCCGCGAATGGATAATAAGGAAATAATGATGATCGAAATTATAATATATATAAATATAATATATATTTAATTAAAATATATATAATATATAAGTAATAACAATATATAATATAAATATAACAATATAAATATATAATATAACAACATATAATACAAATAATATATAAGTAATAACAATACCTGGATAACGGCTCTAACAAAAACTCTAGGCTCCACCAAGGCTAGGTAAACCGACCGTCGTAACAGCCGCTCGGGTTGTTGACTGAGCGGCGTTGGGGGGGGGGG